TTGTAAAAATTAAATATTATGTTTAGTGTCTTTTACAATTAAACTTAATATTTAAACGTTTACTTAGAATTGTTATTTTTATAATGTNTTGTTTTTTTAACCCATAGCAACAAGAAACAACAAATATAATGCTGGCTGTTAAAGACAAATCTTAAAAATATGTTATATGTATAATACAAATTAAGATAAAATATTGTTAGGGAATTAGATAATTTAGGTATTTTTACCTTAATTTCAAGTTTTTATATTTATGTGTTTTATGATTACAATGTATCATATATTACTATGAAAAGTAAAATAAAATACCCCAAGTTGTTTGTTTTATACAGATATTTGAACATTTCTATTTAAATATTGTTTTTATAGAAAAATATAGTTGATTTTTAGAGGAAATAGAAAAATTTTGCTTAAAGGTGGTAAAAAACTAAATATTTAGTCAATGTATGTGTAAATATATGTGTACCGTTGCGTTAAAGTGATAGAATTTTCATTAATTCCCCGTGAAAAGCTTTGTTTTGCACTGTTAATTTTTAATTTTAAAACTTATTTTATATAATTATTATTTTGAACCTACAATAATATGTAGTTAAACAATTACGCTTTAAATAAAAATACACTTAAATGTGAAAATTATTTTAGTATGATGTGGCGGACCTGGAAGGCTCGCCTGGGGAAATTTTAATATTTATTTGTTGTTCGGGTTACCGTCTGGATTCCCTATTGAGCTATCCGCACAGAGTCCTCCAAGTTGTATATAGGAAATAGAGATTATTTATTAAGAAATAAATTTAACACTTTCGATAGAAATACTGGTTATCAATAGTAATATGTATTATATGAAAAATATCACGTTACAAGAGAAATATAACAATTAATATAAATGTTTATATAGATATAAAGTAAACTTTCATAATAACATTTCAAAATAAGAATATGCTTTACAATTATAATGTTAGTTCTATATTGGTAGACTCTAGACACTAGACTGTCAACACTAGACTGACTATTGCTGCAAAATAGTCATACAAAGAAAACAAGGGGACATCCGCATACGGATGTCCCTATCAATTATAAACATATATTCGCAGAGATAAATATTTAATAAAGTGGTGGAGCCACAACACCACCCCCCTAAAACTAGGGCTCATGTTCCATGAAGCCCGAAGTTTTACATACATAAATAAATAATAATAATACAATAATATCATATAATATGACATAAATCGAATATAATATAATAATATTATAATTCTACCCACTAATAGTGTTACAATTATAATTCGATAGGACATAATGTTTAACGTAAGAACTCTATGAGGTTCTTATATCCACACAGAGTGTACATGTTCTTATATCCACACTATATACCTATACATTTTATTTATTTATACAATATATATATTTTCTTTTCATTATAAATATGCCCGCTATTACTTATAGTGAGGACATAGGAATGGAGGATGGTATTATAATATTTCTTGTATTTTTCCTCCCATATATTTCATATATTATTATTCCTATAATTATTAGTACGAATATTTTAAAGTAAAAGGAATACGACAGTAAATAGTTAATTGCAAAACTTTCAGTGTTTTTGTTTATATTATTTTGTACCTCCTCTAATAGATTATCCACCCCTTTCATTGGTGTGTATGAATTTAATTTAATTTTATTTAAATCTATTACCTGCAAATTTTTCTTATCAACAAACCGCGTAATATTCTCAGGCAAGGGGATTTCTGGCATAAAATCTTCATAACGACTAGAAGTAAAACTTTTAATAGGCATTAGCACAGAATTCGCCGTAATGGCTTTACAATCATCCCTTAAGCTTATCATTCCTGTTCCCACTAATAATGTATTTAAACCAACCTCTCGTTCATCACAATTGACAATAATGTTTTCAGTGTTGGTTGCATATAACCAAGTATTTTTATATTTAAGTTTCAGAAATATACTTTCGTGTAATTTACCATAAACAAACTGACAAGTTGTAGGAACTATTGTGGGTTTGAAAAACAATTGAATTTCACATATGGACCTTTCGTGTCTATTGTATACAGCTCGCTCCCCAGAACATAACTTATACGAATTAGTTTGTTTACACAGATTGATTTCTAGGTCATCAAATAAAATATAATGTTCGAATGTACTACTGACCGCAATAAATTTCATGGTCGGACTAATGAACTGTACGGTGTCTGTGTTATTTACAATTACAGGAAACGGAAGTAAATGATATAGAATAAAAACGTAATTATTTTACACATATTAACTATATCAACAAAATGTGTCCTAAGCATAGAAATCATATCATTATATTTTGTTATATTCAAATACGTAACAATCTCCCAATTTGTATTAGTTAGCTGCAATGCCCCTTCATTTTCATAATAAATACCAGAAGAATATGGCGCGTCTAATAAACTAAATGCGGGTTCATTTTTGACGGGTCTAACTTGAATGAATACAAAAATTGTTAGCGTTACTATTACCCTAAAATATTTAAAACAGCTACTATTTATGATAGTTACGACTATTTATTAGGATTACTATTAATATTATTTTAAACTAAAACATATTAATGTTGTAATAGGCCCTTCACACAACCGAACAAAATGTTTATCTGTTATTCTTTCATCTTCTACCCACACACCAATAAATTACAAAACACAATCAACACTTTCTATCACTGACTGCAGATACACACACAACTCACACAATCACGCCATGCACACACATCCGTTCCTTCCCAACATGTACAACCCCGTAGTTTTACAAAATCCTTTTACAATGTCAGCAAAATAGCAACAAAAGAATCTAAATAAATGTAAGGCCGATGGTCATGTACGTGTCTGGAAGGGGACTTGGAAGGACACCAAAGGACTCCATGGGCTCGTCTGACACGGCCTGTTCCGATCCAACCGATTTACGATCACGTCGCGATCATCGTCCGGCTCTCTTTCGCCTTTTAAACCAATTTTGTATTTTTTTTAGTTTTGTTTGTTTTTCCTTTACTATTATTGTATCATGTGTTTTTAATAATAAAATAATCAAAGATATTTTTTTATACAAATTGGTTATTATAATTCATACTTTCTTTATTGTTCCACGAGTAAATTATTGTATCAATGAGGATTATATGATTAAGGTAAGAACATCCTAATTTATTGTGCATGTATTTAAGATAGCAAGTGACCCTCGAACAACACACCTCGAGAAAAGGGATAGTTCTTATTTTGCGATACTCCTATAACATTCCCTTCCATCATATCATATCCCTTTCATATTTTTTTGTTTTACAACAAAGTGGCGCCCAACTATAAGCTTAGTTTTTTTTAAAACTAAGGGTCTTCTTTACTATTTCACAATTCCATAAAATATCTAACAATAGTAACACATTACACTTTTACAAAATACAGGCAAGTGAGAACAAAATTTTTAGTGCATAGAGACGTATGAAAGCAGAATAGATCGAAACAGCATATAAAAAATAAAGGAGAAAGAGAAAGAAAAATTAGAGAAAATAAAACAAAGAATTAATAAAGCGAATAAAAAAATAATAATAAGGTAAAAAATAAATTATTAAAGAGTTTATATATAAAAAAAAGGTAAGAATGAAAAAAGTGACAAGATAATAAAGAATTAATAAAAATTTTTTTTTTGAATAGTAAAAACTAATAAGAGAAAGAGTAAAAAAAATAAAAAACTAATTAGAGTATAAAAAAAAAGAAAGAAGAGAAAGAGATAAGTTACAAAAAATTAAAAAAAAATTGCATTTCACAAAAAAATAGAGACTTAGAAGAATAAAAACACCTAGAGAATTTATTGCATAAAAAAAAAAAAAAGATAATTTTAAATTAGTTGAAAGAAAATAAAAAGATATATATACAAAAAAAAGAGAGAATTTAACAAACATATAAAAAAAAAGAGAAAGGTTCCCAAATATAAAAAAAATAAATATACAGAAATAATTTTCAGTGTAATTAACATATTGCACACTGAAATTATTTTTAATTCAATTATTATAAAAATTTTTGTAATTATAAAAGGAATATAATTTCATAAATAATGGAAAATAACTCTAATATTGAAGAAACAGGCACATCTGAGTTAAAAGGTGAAACTGAAGAACAAATAAAAGCTCTAGAGTATATAAAAAAACTTAGGAGAGCTGAGTTAATTATTTTTTTTTAAAGTATTTAAAAACTAAATCAACATTAAAAAAAAAAAAGAAAGTTTAAAAATATACCTAGCGATTATATTGGAAAAGAGTTTTATACTAAAAATTTTTTTTTTAATTGTAAATATATATATAACACGAAAATGTATGGAAATTTATTCTATAATCCACCAATCTTTTCGGGCGGTAGAAATGAGAGAATAGATATATTTTTAAAATCATTCAATAGGGCTTCGGAAATCAATGGTTGGTCAGAAAACGATAAATCGCTTTATTTAGTAGCTTTTTTGCAAGATGCAGCTCTTACTTTTTATGATAATATTGAATCAGAAAATTTGTCATGGATAGAATTAGAGAAAAAATTTATGAAAGAATTTGAAACACATAGTTTTATTTTACGTTCAATGTTAGAACATAAAAGACAGAAAGATGATGAGCGAACAGTAGTTTTTGTTAATGATGTTATAGATTAATGTAGAAGAATTGATAATAATATGTTAGAAGAAGAAATATTACGAAATGTGATGAAAGGCTTAAAACCATGTATTATTAGATCTATTGGGATGCTTGAGAATCGTAATTTAGATGAGTTAAAAGGGAATATTCGAAAATACGAAATGATAGAATTTATGATTGCTGAAGAGACAATTAGTAGTCAACCTAAAATAAAAGAGCCTGTAATAAATAAAAAAATTAATAATATTTCCGAAAGTAATAATTTCTATGAATTTCAAAAATCAACTAATGAAATTGGAACTTTGAAACAAAGTCAGGTGCAATTTTTTAATGACAACATTAATTTAATACCATACAATAACCAATTTAAAAATCATGATGTATCAAACAATAAAGAAGAAATTTGTCGTATTTGTAATGTAAGTGATCATTCAGCTCTTATGTGCAAAGTAATTCCAAAACCCATTAATTTAAAGTTAAACAAAAATTCTGAAAAAAACAATTCATCATTGTATTCAGCAAACAAATATAATAATTATGTCTTAAAAAGTAAAAATATCTCTGACACATTAAAATTCTATGCTACATTGTATGATAAAATTATACCAATTACAATTGACACGGAATCAAAGATTTCTTGTATAAATTACACTTTAATATTGAAAAATCAAAAGGTTAATTCCATAAGCTTCAAAGTAGAAAACCCAGAGAACACATCACCAACAATTTTAGGTGAAACAACAATTATTTTACAAATAAATTCTGTATATTATCACATTAAGGCTTTTGTTGTTAACAACTTGCCTTGTTCTATACTTTTAGGTCAAGACTTTTTATTAAAAAATAATAGTGTCATTGCTTCTAATAAAAAAATCATAACTTTACATAATAAAACTTCAATACCAGTATTTATTGATAATACTTTAAATTATGATCAATTAAATATAGAATTTTATGATAAAAATATCACCAAAAATGATGTGTCATTTATTAATTATTATAAAAATAGAAAAAAATTCGATTGTTTAATTTTAAATGTAATAATAGTCAAAATTACAGACAAAAATTCTAATATAGGATCAAAGAGCATGTCATCTCATTTCATAAACACTGAACCCAAAAAAGTTCCTAAAATGTTAATACAATACAATAATTCACAATTAAAAGATGTCTTTAAAATTAAAGCTNCAATAATTCACAATTAAAAGATATCTTTAAAATTAAAGCACCACGCGACGAAAGTTTAATAAAGAATTTTATCTTTCGAAATTCAGATAAATTAGAGTTAAACAAACAAATAGATAAAAATATTAAAACAAACACATCATATAATTTTGCAACATCAACATTAATTAAAACTAATAATTTATATTCTAATTGTATAGTCATTCCAGATGAAATTATAAATGAGAGAATTAAACTAAATCAGTCTTTAGTTAAAAGAAAAATGGATCTATTAAAGGCAATAGAAAATTTTCAGTATTTTATCATAATTGCATTATTATATAATATAGATAGTTCTTATTTTGCGATACTCCTATAACATTCCCTTCCATCATATCATATCCATTTCTTATTTTTTTGTTTTACAACATTTATATACATATATACTAACATAGTTCTTTAATATAAATTTTATTGATAAAATATTTTAGCATCATTTTAGCTTCGATGCGAAGCTGAGAAGGTATTGGTTTTACTATGATGTTTTTTTTTTTTTGTGTCTGTTACCACTTTTTCTCAGCTCTCACTGAACGGATTTCTTTCAACGATACGTCAAAAGATCACAAATTGTATCTAGTCGAAGACATTACCCTTCAAAATTGAAAAAATTTCCCTCGTTCCCCGTAAATGGGGGAAACCTCCAAAAAAATTACAAATTTAAAAATCGCTAATTTTCGAAATTTTTTCAATTTTTTTTACTAAAAACTGCCGTAACTTTTTCAAAAATGAACATATCAATATAATTTTTTTTTTTATAGATGCTTGATGTCTTTACCTATCATTTGGTATATTTTTTTTGTAAATTTGACCTTTTTTCTGCCCACAGGGGGGGATTTAAAATGACAACTTTTTCACAAAAAATTAACTTTTTCAACTTAACTTTTGAAAATGTTCCGGAAGGTCTGACACTTTTATATATATCTTAAATTAAAGCTAATGTAATGTACTTTAATTTGAAAAAAAAAAATTTGACCTCTGGACTTGTCTTCATGGTGAAAACGGCTACCGAATGCAATTTTTGTGTGAAAATTTTCGATTTTATTATTCATATTATATTTAACTTTATAATGCTATAACTTATTGAAAAGTTTATGGATCCATACAATTTTTTATGAGAAATAATATTTTTTAATAAACCCTTTTTCATTCGACATACTTTATCTTAATCGAGATATTAATAAGGAACCAGCAGATCAAGTAGCTTTTGGAATAAAACACCAATTTTTTTAAAATTAAACACTATCTAAAGATTTGCATCGAAGCGTTTATTTTTGATAGTGATTTTAATCACTGTGCCGCGACCCCCCTGTGCTGGGTTTTAT